ACTTTATCTTATATTTTATAGTTGCAAGGCTTGTAGTGGATTCTTTTTTTTTCTGAACAAAATCTATCTCTATAGGATCATCTAGTATTTCATCATCTCCATCTAAAGAATCAAAGATTTGAGTCTTTACCTCATCGGGTATTTCTGGGACTGGTTCTCGATAATTATTATTGCGAAGCAATGCCTCTTCGGGTCTATCCTGAATAGATAGTAGCTTACTGAAATTGGGTTTAAGACTTTGTAACAAATATGAAGGTAATAGTTCTTTTAATATATCCATAACAATTTCACGAATTTCTTCTAGAGGGGTCTGCTTTGATTTGCGATATTTAGGTAAGTTAGAGACTCGAGATTTCAATCTTTCTTTCTTAGACTTAGATTTCTTGGAAATCTGCTTCTGGTTTACTTTTTTTTTGACTTAATAATATTAACTTGCATACTTTCAGTTTTAGAGGAGGTATTATTAGAGTCGGATTCAGAATCAAAATCATTATTAGAAGAGCTATAATTAGAATCTGAATCAGAACTAGAATCATTAGTAGCTATATTAATCTTACCTTTTTTTTTGGATCTGCTTTTCTTTTTGTTTTTTTTTTCAGGAACAGCTATGAGAATTATGTTTTATTCTACTGCAATTTGAGCAATACTGCTAAAATTTTTTAACAGTTTTAGCAACAACATTAATATTTTTGGCCATTTTTGCCATATTCAATGACATGTTTGCCATACCTTTAGTAATTTCATCAACGTCATTGGTATTTGGTGTAATGTTCTTTTTTATTTGTGACTTTGGAGGTAAAGAAAGGGCCTGTACGGGGACAAATTCCAGAGTGTTATCATAAAGCTATAGTAATAATCTATTAATATTTTCTTTATAAATTTTTTTTTAGATATTCCTGCAGGTTGTGGTCAAAATTGTGAAAAAATAGGTTATAAGGTAGGTTATTGAGATTGTATTAGAATTTGTTAGATCCATAAGTCTAATTGAGATTTTACTACATTTCTATGTTACTTATCGTTATTCTACTATTGTCCAAATATAGGTTAGTTTTTGGTTTTGTTATTTCTTTTGGTGTAATTGTCAATTGGGATGTAATTGGTGAACCTTGAAAGGTTTGATTAGGAATAGAGCCTCTATACAAATTTGAAGAACATTCTAATCATATATTTTTAAGTTCTGTAAAAAATGTATTAATGCTAGCAGGATTAGCAATTTTTATTCAAGTATAAAGTTCTCCTGATAAATGTCCTTTAAGTAGTCCTAAGATATTGGCATCATTATCAGCAACTCCTAATAAAAGAGGACAAATTCTAGCTTTATAAGTTTTTGGATTATCAAATAGTAAGAATTTTTCTTGTGCTTATCTTTGAGTAGCAACTTGTTGTGTTCCAACTGTCTCTGTCTGATATTTATAACACAACTAAACAATGAAACAAGCTGGGGTATCAATATTATTACCAGCATGTTGAGAGGGTATATTTGTATATTTTCCAGCCATTTTACTTTTTAAAATATCTGCCCGAAGCAGATCATCAAAGGCGGCTAACGTAATCAATAGTAAAGTTAATATTTGATTAATTCTTTGATACTATTCATCTGGTGGAATTTGTCTACTATAATTTGAAATCTGTGCAATTAATGGTGCAATGCTGGTTAAGTCTCTTGCAACTGTAGCCATATTTGGTGAGTTATATTGTAGTGCTAAAATTTGTTGATTAAAATTATTAATTAATTGTTCAGAATTTCATGTCTGAGTTTTCCACTTACCCCACTTGTTGTTCAGTTGAACATCGGCAAATAATAGATCATTTT